TTTTTTTTTTGAGATGGAGTCTCACTCTGCTGCCCAGGCTGGAATGCAGTGATGTGATCTTGGCTCACTGCAACCTCCACTTCCTGGGTTCAAATGATTCTCCTACCTCAGCCTCCCAAGTAGCTGGGATCACAGGCGCCCACCACCATGCCTGGCTAATTTTTGTATTTTTAGTACAGATGGGGTTTCACCATGTTGGTGACACTGATCTCGAACTTCTGACCCCAGGCGATCCATCTGCCTCAGCCTCCCAAAAGTGCTGGGATTATAGGCGTGGGTCACCATGACTGTTTTTTTTTTTTTTTTTTTTTGATACACGGATTTTTGGTCCCAACCCTAGAGCCTCTGATTCTGTAAATAAGGGCTGGGCCCGAGAATCTGCATTTGAATAAGTTCCTAGATGTTGCTGCTAGTCCCAAGGAAACAGTTTGAAGAAACTGCTTTAATCAAATCTTAAGGTTATTTGATGTTTTCTGCTGCCTTTTTCTTGTCACTGTAAATTTCCCTGCAGTAAACATAAGAATAAATGGAAAAGTTTTGGCTTTTCTGTTTCAAAGAAGATTGACTGACTTTTTACTTTATTCAGTGTCTTTCTAAGCTGTTAGTGATTTTACCTTAAGCATATTTAAGAATACCTCTTTTTAAAAGTGCATCAACCAATCCTCAAGTTGAATTTTCTACACTTCGTTCATGTACTATGTATGTTACTTAAATAACAGAAAGCCTTTGAAATTTTGGCTTAAACACTGGTAAAATTCAAAGATAAGTTTAAGAGCTGCTAGTTAACAAAGCAAATCCAGGAAATTACTAGGCACAGAGTTTACTACTAAGTATCTCTCCAACCATTCTCCCCTTCTTCCTTAGTAGTAAAAGCCCTCATTTAACTGAACACATGGCCACTCAGAATATATTTTCCAGCTTTCACTTAGCTTTAAATACTTGTAGGAAACTATGTTTTAGTTAGTAGGAAGTAGCCAGAAATGGTAATATAGTTTGGATGTTTGTCCCCTCCAAATTTCACAATTAAATGTAATCCCTGATGTTGATGGGGGAGAGGCATTTGGATCACTGGGGCAGATCTTTTACGAATGGTTTAGCACCATCCCCTTGGTGATGAGTGAGTTCTTTCTGTGAGTTCACAGGAGAACTGGTTGTTTAAAAGTGTATGTCACCTCCTCCATCTCACTCTTGCATCCATTCTCACCATGTGTAAGCCAGCTCCCCCTTTGCCTTCTGCCATGATTGTAAGCTTCCTGAGGCCTCACCAGAAGCCAAGCAGATGTTGGCACCATGCTTTCTGAATAGCCTGCAGAACAGCAAGTCAACTAAACCTCTCTTCTTTATAAATTTCTCGGTCTTGGGTATTCCTTTATAGTGATGCAAAAACAGACTAATACAAATGGGAAAAATGCAATTTCTACAAAATGTCCTTAAAGGAGAACAATGTGCTTTCCTAACTTTGGTTTTCTGCTGGTGGGAATGTGATTATGATGGCTGGAAGTTGAGCAGCCATCATGGGTCACAGGTAGAGGTATCATAATGAGGATTGTTAGATATGAGTTCTAAATTTCTTTTCAAGGAATCAGTATGTCAGTATGTTCAATTCTTTGCCTTCTACTTTTAAACTTAACTTCGTCGTAAAGCAACGTTTTTCGATTACCTGCTCCACCCTGACTCATTCCCATTACCTACTCCACCCTGACTCATTCCGATTACCTGCTCTGTCATAACCATTTTTCCCGCCAAACCACTCACCCTGTCAGTCTCTTTAAATTAGCCAGTCAGAATTAGTTTAGCCTGTGTGGTCTAACCCTAGCTAATAGGGGAACGACACAGCAGCAGGGGCCACATGCGTCAGGGATAGAACCCCTTCCCTTCCCTTGTCCAAGTGTGTGCTCACCGTTATTCCATTTGTAAGGGTGCACCCTTCTGTGGAAGTAACTTGCCTTGCTGAGAATTAAAAAGAAAATTCTATATTCAAGTGCTGTTTCTTTCGTGGCAACGAAACTTTATTTATAACAGGATGGTGGAGCAACAGACTAGATGAAGCCTGGATATCTGATACAATGGCAACCCAACTCCTGGACTATATCCAAACTGCTGTTATATGAGAAAAACAGATTTCTATCTTCACCTCTTGTTATTTTGAACTTGATACTACTTGTAGCTGAACCTAATCTGAACTGATAGAAGCAGTCATACAGAAGTTAGAGTTGTGCAGAATGGAACTTCACTGTCTGTCATTTCAGCACTTTGGGAGGCCAAGGTGGAAGGATCCCTTGAGCCCAGGAGTTGGAGACCAGCCTGGGGAACACAGCAAGACCATGTCGCTATAATTAAACAACAAAACAACAAACAACAACAACAACAACACAGGCACACACAAACACCAAGGTTGGTTGAGGGAAAAATGAGGCCTTAAATCCAGCCTGCCCTCTCCTTTCCAAGCTTTGCACTGTGATGTGTGCTCCAGGAGGCTGACATACCCTAATGGCTCTGCAGAAGAGTGCATTTTTATTTAGAATCTAGGCTCTGTGGCAACATTTTTCAAAATATCCTCTCCATTCTCCTTGCCCAAGACCATGGGAACCCATCTCTTGCATCAGCATGACCTGGATGTGAGACCTGGAGTCAAAGGGGATCATTTGGAGCTTTAAAATTTGACTGCCCTTTGCATGGGCCCTGTAACCCCTTTGTTTTGGCCAATTTCTCCCATTTGGAATGGCTGTATTTACCCATTATCTGTATCCCCATTGTATCTAGGAAGTAGCTGGCTTGCTTTTGATTTTACAGGCTCATGTCTCAGATGTAAAGATGCCTTGTCTCAGATAAGACTTTGGACTGTAGACTTTTGGGTTAATGCTGAAATGAGTTAAGACTTTGGGGTACTGTTGGGAAGGCATGATTGGTTTTGAAATGTGAGGAAATGAGATTTGGAGGGGCCAGGGCAGAATGATATAGTTTGGCTATGTCCTCACCCAAATCTCAACTTGAATTTATCTCCCAGAATTCCCACGTGTTGTGGGAAGGACCCAGGGGGAGGTAATTGAAGCATGGGGGCCGGTATTTCCTGTGCTAGTATCATTATAGTGAATTAGTCTCATGAGATCTGACGGGTTTATCGGGGTTTCCTGCTTTTGCTTTTTCCTCATTTTCTCCTGCTGTCCCCCATGTAAGAAGTGCCTTTTGCCTCCTGCCATGATTCTGAGGCCTCCCCAGCCATGTGGAACTTTAAGTCCAATTAAACCTCTTTTTCTCCTCAGTCTTGGGTATGTCTTTACCAGCAGCATGAAAACGGACCAATACACTCCTGGAGGCATTGGAGATGGTTTTTAGGTAGTCCCCAGATGTACTTCAAAAGTCTGTTAATACTAAGTAGGTTTGTATTTGAGGTTAGTTAGCACTACATTCAGCAAGTTCAGACCTCATTGCTAGGAAGAAAAGCCATAAAGGAAGAAGTTTGTTGAGCAGAAATGAAAGAGAATAGAAGCTCATAATATTATGTCATTAGCCAGTATTATATGGTAGTTATTAGAGGTGGAACTTGGGAGTCAAACTGCCTGAGTTCAAAACCTGGCTCTCATAGTGACTGGCTGTTATTCATGGCATGTTTCCTAACCTCACTGTGTCAGTTTTTGCAATGGCACTTCTGCAAGGATGCTGTGGGAATTAACATGACATATAATGTGTTCTCAATAAATGTAAGCGATTACTATTTCTGGGAATCTTTTAGCAAAGGAACAATTCACTACCTGTATATAGCCACAGTTTGTTGAAAGCTTACTTTTGTGTCAGGAACTGTACACAAAGGACCTAATTTTACTTACAAGGAAGCCAAGGCTTAGAAAGTTTCAGGCCAGGCAGAGTGGCTCATGCCTGTAATTCCAGCACTTTGGGAGGCCAAGGCGGGCGGATCACGAGGTCAGGAGATCGAGACCATCCTGGCTAACACAGTGAAACTCCAGTTCTACTAAAAATACAAAAAAATTAGCTGGGGTGGTGGCCTGCGCCTATAGTCCCGGCTGCTGGGGAGGCTGAGGCAGGAGAATAGCGTGAACCTGGGAGGCAGAGCTTGCAGTGAGCCGAGATCACGCCACTGTACTCCAGCCTGGGTGACATAGCAAGACTCCATCTCAAAAAACAAACAAACAAAAAAGTTTCAGTGCCTTTACCAAGGTTATAACACTAATTCTTGCTCCACTAGAATTCAAACTCGAATTGATTGGGTTCCAAAGCCATGATACTACGGATCAAAGACAAGGCTTGCAAGATTTCATAAGCCTCCTCTTGTATATTCTCTCTCAAGTTCCTGGTTCACAGCATGTACCAGCACACTCATTAAAACTAAAACGGTGGCCGGGCGCGGTGGCTCAAGCCTGTAATCCCAGCGCTTTGGGAGGCCGAGGCGGGTGGATCACGAGGTCAGGAGATCGAGACCATCCTGGCTAACATGGTGAAACCCCATCTCTACTAAAAACACAAAAAACTAGTAGGGCGAGGTGGTGGGCGCCTGTAGTCCCAGCTACTGGGAGGCTGAGGCCGGAGAATGGCGTGAACCCGGGAGGCGGAGCTTGCAGTGAGCTGAGATCCGGCCACTGCACTCCAGCCTGGGTGACACAGCGAGACTCCGTCTCAAAAAAAAAAAAAAAAAAAACTAAAACGGTGTTTGGGAGTGAAGGATGTGAGACATTGAGAGCAACAGCAGAAAGGGTTGGGGGAGTCTTGGGAAGTGCAAGGGTGCTCAGGTTGGGACCTGTGGCAATGAATGGGAGGGCCAGGGAAACTGACCAGAACTCAAAAATGCCTCTTGGTGATTCACAAGAAAAGTCGCCTCTCAAGTTTTTCTATTATTCAGTGCTTCTAAGATACTGTTGCACTGTAAACTACAAAATTAACCTTATGATTCTACAATTATACTTTCTAAATGATCACTTATTTGATGGTTTTGAAGTACAGAAAGTATTTGGTCATTTAAATTATTTCCTTCCACGGAGTCTGTATCACTGAAAGACAAGGAATGTTTGCCTTTATTGTAGATATTTCAATGAAAATGTCAACATGTTGCAAATTGGCATCCTTTGGGTTTGCCAATATGTGGAAAAAAACTTTTTCAATGGAAATTTCCCTCTTTTTAGGGTCGAAAAGACGCTCTGCAACTAAAGTATCCCAGGCAACTTTATTCATTCAAAAAAATCAGAGCGGAGTCAAAAGCACAAACCCATGAATTGGGCGGCGCAGTCTGACTCCAGAGATAACGGCTGAACCGGGTTTGGAGAGACTGAACCCGCGCCGGTGCTCCTCCCGTTTGCTTGGACATGTTTGAGTACCACAGCTCTAACCCGCCACTTCAGCTGCACTGGCAGGTTTGCGGGGACGCAGCAACTCCGTCCCGAGGGCGGCTGAGTCAGCACCCGTGCCCGCGGCTTTGAGCGGCCGCTGGAGGTTCCTGTTAGGCCCGGCCTGCTCACCGGGATCTTCCCTGCCTCCGTCCAGTCAGCCTCCAGGAGGGCGCCGCCGGCCGCCGTGACTTAAGCAAGGCACTACTATCTCCATCGGCCGCCACCTCGGCCGTCTTCCTGCCCAGAGTAGGACAAAATCTGGCCAGCCTTCCAGCTGACGCCGCTCGGCCAGGGCCCTGCAGCATCGGGGCGGGATAGAAGGAATCCGCAAGCCAGACGCTGAAAGTTGGCGCTCGCGGACGCCCCGACGCCCTCCCTCCACTACGCATGCGCCCACGGGCAGTCAGCGCGGGTCCCGTCTCCGGTGACGTAGCGGTGCGGAGGCGGAGCCAAGACCGGCGGCGGGAGGGTGGGGGAGGAAGAGCGAGGTGAGCGCGGACGTCAGAGTGGAGAGCGGAAGGTCAGGGAGGCTCGGAGCGGAAGTGAGACTAGGGAGTCTGTCCGCCATTGTGGACCCGAGAAGCGGAGAGCGAGAGGGGGAAGAGGAGCGTGCAAGCAGAAAAGACGGGCCTCTTCCTCCGACTCCCGAGCGCGAGGCCCTCATTTTGGGTTCTCAGCGAGTGGCGGCAGCGGCGGCGGCTGGAACAATCACTCGGCCAAGGGCGACAGCCAACTGCTGTGAGTGCACGGGGAGAGGCCCAGGCAGCGGCGGCGGCGGCGGCGGCGGCGGCTCTCGGGTTGCGGTGAAGAATGTCAGCCACTAGCGTGGATCAGGTGAGGGAGCAGAGGCCCCAGGCTCGGCGAAGGCCCGAGTCCCGGAGCTCCACCCTCGCGCGGGGCTTCGGCTCCTCCCCGTCGCCGCCGCTGCCGGCCCCATAACGGTGCCCTGGGCGCAAGTTGCTGCGGTGTAGCTGCCTGGGCCGGGTCGTACGTCTTGGTCCCGTAGCCTGCGGGCGGGCGCGGTGCCGCGGTGGGTGGGGGCAAGGACCGGTCTTAGGGGCCTTAGGACACATCCTGAGGGCGGCAGACATAGGGCTGAGACCGGGCGAGCTCTGGGAGAAGGATTCCGAGTGGCGGGTGGGAGGTTTAAAGGCCGGGGGTGGTTGGGAAATTGGTGGCTGTGGAGGATATGGTGGGTTTTTACTCCTACGCGGATAGTCTAAAATAACTTGTCTTTGATAATGCCTTTGATTAACACACTTTCTCTCTTCTTCCTTTTTCTCCTCTTTACCGCATCTTTCGTCTTGCTACACAGAGACCTAAAGGGCAAGGAAATAAAGGTGAGTTTGGATTTTTTTTTTCTTACTGCTCAATGTTGTCTTGATGTTACTTTTAAACTCTGTGAGGGTTTTTTGTTTTTGCTCCCTCTTGGGAAAAAATGTAGGATTAGAGAAAATATTCATCATGGCTAAGGTAGCCAAGTTCTATCCAGAACTTCGGTAGTTCGTTGCTTTGAAGCCACTTTATAGAAACCAAAGTAGTACGAGAAACAGTTTCCTTGTCAGTTAAGCAGGAATTGGTGTGAACCTAGTGGTATTTCTTTGGTTTTCCAGTTTATCTGTGTTATGTAACTTCTGCCACAAAAAATTTCTACATATGTATGTAGACAAGTATATTCTTAAAGTGGACATTTTGTTTGATATGTCTGGATTACACTGGAAAATGGAACTCTACATAGTATTCCATCACATTAATGAAAATTGTACTGTTAATCACAGATTCTATTGAAGTCAGTTGCAAGGAGACAACAACACGAGAGAGATTAGAATTAAGTAGGCATGCCATCTTGCACTGTTGTCCTGATTGCAAGGTGTGAATCAATCTGGTATTCTATAAAGGGCTGAGAATAAAATAATTTGTGACTTTCTTTCAGGATTTTATAATTTCCTCTTTAGTAAAAGTACCGTTGAAAGAAAAGTGTTTTTTTTTTAAAGTGTGTTTTGTATTAATATGGAACAGTGCAGTCAGCTGACTACATTAGTCATGTGACATTTAGTTAAGTATAGAACAATAACTGCTTTCTTGGGATAGTGCCAATTAAGTAACATCAAAGCAAATTATATATAACATTTTGTAGTGCTTGAAATTACGCTAAAATTTGCTTTCTGTTGATTTCAGTAACACAGTGTTAGAAATTAAGATCTATAGTGGCCTTTTAGATATAGATTGTCTTTGGTGCCTTTTAAATTTTTGTTAGGGTATTTATTTGCTATTGCAAATTTGGTGAATTTAAAATAATAGGTTTTGGAAATGTAGATTAGTTAATTTCCTTTGAAATGTGGAATTTGTACATGCCAATTACATGGCACCATATTAGGTAACATTTATTGGTTTGTTTTCATTAAAGATGTTTTCTTGCAGTATGTAAATATTTAAACATTTTAATTTTTAAAATTTCATTTCTAGAATTTTTTGTTATTATAAGCATAAACCTGAAATAAAATTGGATATTGATTTATTTTAAATGAGTTTTTAAAAATTTGTGAATTTTAAAAAGAATGATCCTTTAATTTCTTTTTTTGCTAGTCTACCCATTAGGAATTATATAGACTTGGAGATTGTGAAATTGTGGTCATTATTGCCTAGCATAAATTATTTTATCCTAGATCTGTGGGGAGGTGGCACTTTGCAAGGCTATTTGAAATGCTAAGTGTTTTGTGTTACCTGCTTTAAGGTAAGTACACAAGTTCTATGAGGTACTTGTTTGTTAAAAGAGTCTCTACAGCATTGTAAGTCAGTAAAATAAATTTGATTTATGAGTGGTCATTTCACTTAGGTAGGCACTGGTGGCATCTTTGATATTAGACATGAGTTATCTATAAACTGCATAATATATCCACTGTTTGCAAATAAGTATTTTTTGGTTATTTCAAAAATTTTTATCCATCGGTATCACTTCTGTTAGGTGTATTCAGACACATACACAAAGTGTTTATTTTGATAGTTCTTTATTCTCGAGAAATTTTCTTTCTTTCCCCCTTGTTGTTCAGTTTATTAATTTCATCTAAGGTTAGAATAATGGATTGGGATTCCTTGGAGTCCTGAGTTCTAATACTGCCTTTGGCTACTGACTTGCCAAGTGAGCTTGAAAACATTCTACTTGTTTGTCAGAATCTCCCCTCTATAAAATAAAAGTAATAACTCTAGTCATAATTCCTGTGGTATGTTGTGAAGATTCTTATGATTACAATAGTTCGCTGCTCTAGTAGCAATTACATTTGCTGGATTTCTTTTCACTTTCCTCACTTAATCTATTTTTAAGATGTGGGAAGACTCCTTTGCATGGAGCCTTGGCAGGAGGGGAAAAATGTTACTGGCCTGAAAGTATTGCTAATCATTTAAGTTCCTTAAAAATGGCAGATGCTACAAGTGCACAAATACACATATACATTATTTGTATTTTTATGACTCTGCAGGGAGAATTACAAGGCAAAGGCAGCATCACCAGTGAACCTCATATTAGTAGCTATATGTGTATTTGAGAAAAGCTGTTCTGCCTTAGCTTGTTTCCAGCTAGTAAAATTATTTTACAATTCTGTTTACTTTTATTAAGTTATTTTTCTTTAACTACAAGCTCAGTATTCTAAATATGTGTAATCTTGAATTCAGAACTTAGCAAGCTTATGAAAAATATGTCCTTGAGAAGTTGGTGTCAGTTAGAGTTTTGAACACATAATCCTTTTCAGTCAACTTACTCTAATTTCAGAGATTCTGTTTCTTTTCTGAATTGTGTTCAGTTGACAGCATTAGCCTAACACCTAGTTTTAGTGTCTTTGATTTTCTTTATATCCTTAATTACTTAATTCATTACAGAGGCCAAAAGGAATTCTAAATAAGTGTCTTTGATACGGCAAAAATGTTTTTGTAGAATAAGTAGTAATTCAAGATTTGCTTGTTTTCTAAGTTTGAATTCTTTTTTAATTAGTAGACTGTCCCTGTGTTAAATATCAGAGCTCTTTATTATCCTTGGCAAGAGTAGTACCAAAGGATAGTAGAAATTTAAGGATAATTATTGCCTGTTGGTTCATAATTTAACACTGACTTTGTATTTTTTTTTTTTATTATTAACAAGTAGAATTTTTGCTTATTGGAATAAAGGTGTGCAGTGCTTTTATTTGGGAGTACTATGGATGGAAGCATCAGATGCCATACTTACAGTCTTAGGCCTTACTGCCTCCTTTCTCCTCTTCCTAAGTTTATAAATAGCAAATTCATGGATCACGATTTATCTTTTTCCTCCTCTCCACTCTCTTCCAACAGAGAGGCATATGCATTGTTTTATACAACTATAATTTAAAATAATTAGGTTAAATTTGGCTAAGTTTTAATTTTCAGGAAAGTAGTGGAAAATGTCTTGCATTTTGGCAATATTCAGTTGTATTCTCTCCTCATCCTCCCAAGAAATGATTTCAAAGCACTTTACTGTCATTATTTTAGGCTTCATTTTATCAATCCTCACAACATCCTTGTAAGGAGATAGAGGGTATATGGTATTGTCGCTGTTTTTGTAGGTGGGGAAACATGATGCACAGATCTGTTGACTTTCCTAACTTGATGTAGTCAGGACCAGAGCAAAGAATCACCTGGCTCCTAAGGCCCATGTTCTATCTTGATTTGACTCTGTTTCATAGAGCAGAGGAAACAGGCGAAGAATCATGTAAGTCATCTGTTCTTTTTTCCCCTGAAGAACTTTTACAGACTATGGAACTAGCTTGGATTTCAGTTCTATTTAATGGTTTTCAGACTCCAAGACATTAGTTTGTCGTTAAGTAATATTCAAAAACGAAAGTCTTTACGATCGTTTTCTTAAAGATACACTTCCAAAACTTAAGGGCTAGTTTAATGCAAATAGCTTCTCAGTATATGTGAAGTACTTTTAATTGAACTTTTTTTTTTTAAGTAGATTGACTTCTTGTACTATATTTTAAGACTTTGTAGACATTTATGCATCATTTAAAAATGACTGTAGACTGTATTTGTAATAGTATATGGGTTGTTCTCAGGCCTAGCCTTAGAAGAGAAAGAATGGAACAGAAGAAATAAGTAAGAATAGCAATATAATATACAGATAAATTTTAATTAAGTACTTTTTTTTTTTTAAATAGAGACAGGATCTCGCTCTGTAGCCCAGGCTGGAGTGCAGTGACATAATCATAGCTCAGTGTAACCTGGAATGCCTGGGCTCAAGTGATCCTCCTTAGACTCCTGAGTAACTGGGACTATAGGCACATGCCAACACACCTGGCTAATTTCTAAACATTTTTCGTAAAGATGGGATCTTGCTAGGTTGCCCAGGCTGGTCTTGAGCTCCTGGCCTGGCAGTTTTTGTATTTGTATGAACTAGATTTTT